CTACTCAAGTCTATGAACTTATTCATATGGACTTGTTTGGTCCAACAAACGTTGTAAGTCTTGGTGGAAAATCTTATGTCCTTGTTTTAGTTGATGATTTCTCTCGTTTCACATGGGTCTATCTCTTGGCTACCAAAGATGAAGCTTCTGATAAGTTTAAAGTATTTTTGTCAAAAGTGCTGAATGAATCCAAGACTGGAATAAAATCAATACGGAGTGATAATGGAGGTGAATTTATATCTGATCAATTTAGCGCTTTATGTGATGATAAAGGAATAAATTACACCTTCTCTGTTCCTAGAACACCACAACAAAATGGAGTGGTGGAAAGAAAAAACAGAACCATAACTGAAACTGCTAGAACTATGCTTCTGGAATATGGCACACCTAAATTCCTGTGGGAAGAAGCTGTCATGACAATTGTGTACACAATAAATCGTGTGCCAATAAGAAAAAACTTAAACAAAACGCCATATGAAATTCTTAAAGAAAAGACTCCTAATCTTGAATATTTTCATCCATTTGGATGCATATGTTATATACTGAATACCAAAGATCACTTGTACAAGTTTGATGCTAAAGTCGAAAGGGTTGTCTTTCTTGGTTACTCCATAAAAGGACAAGCATACAGAGTGTATAATCTGAAAACCAAAAGGGTTGAGGAGTCTGTTTTTGTTAAATTTGATGAGTATGCTTGTGTTGAGAAAGTCAGTGCAGAAAGCTTGGAATTTCTGTTTCCTGTCACAAATGAAGATCACAACCAAGAGAAGGAATGGGGAACAACATTTGAACCAAAGGAAGACAATGTCTTACCAACTAAGGAGAAAAAGGCTCCCGCACACATACTAAACGACACCCTCCATCCCAAATCATTGGAAATTCAAATGATGGACTACATACTCGAGGTGAGTATCAATCATGTCAGTATGCTTTTGTTTCGTTGCTGGAACCAAAAAATTATAAAGAAGCCTTGGCTGATGATGAATGGGTATGTGCTATGCAAGAAGAACTAGTACAATTTGCTAGATTGCATGTCTGGGAACTGGTACCTAGACCAATTGATAGATTAATTATAGGAAACAAATGGGTATTCAGAAATAAAATAGATGAACTGGACTTGTAACTAAAAATAAAGCAAGACTTGTTGCACAAGGATACTCACAAGAAGAAGAGATAGATTTTGATGAAACTTTTGCCCCTGTTGCTAGGATTGAATCCATCAGACTTCTCTGTGCATATGCATGTTACATGAAAATACCTTTGTTTCAAATGGATGTGAAAAGTGCCTTCTTAAATGGAGAAATTAAAGAAGAAGTCTATGTTAGTCAACCACCAGGTTTCATTGATAATGAATTTCCAGTCCATGTTTACAAACTATTAAAAGCATTGTATGGTTTAAAACAAGCTCCTAGAGCTTTGTTTGAAAAGTTGTCTGCTTTCTTAATAGATGAAGGGTTCTCACAAGGTAACGTAGATAAAACGTTGTTTATTAAAAAGGAAAAATCAGACTCGTTGGTAGTACAAGTGTATGTTGATGACATTGTTTTTGGATCTACTAATTCCTCCATGTGTTCCAAGTTCTATGAGTCCATGAAGTCAAAGTTCGAAATGAGTATGATGGGTGAGCTCTCTCATTTTCTTGGCTTACAGATCAAACAAACCAAATAAGGTATGTTTATAAGTCAAACAAACTATATTGAATCTATCCTTATAAAATTCGATATGAGCTCTGTGAATGCATGTCCAACTCCTATGGCTACTAACCTTAAGTTAGATAAAGATGAAACTGGCATTCCCTTCTGTGAAAAGAAGTATAGAGGGATGATTGGATCTCTTTTTTATTGAACTGCTAGTCGTCCTGACATTTCAGTATAGTGTTGGATTATGTGCAAGATTTCAATCCAACCCCAAAGAAAGTCATTTTAAAGCTGTAAAGCGAATATTAAGGTACATTAAGGGAACCACTCAAGTAGGACTTTGGTATCCAATAACATACTCATTTGATTTAGTAGGATATAGTGATTCAGGTTTTGGAGGAAGCCTTATTAATAGAAAAAGTACATAAGGAGGTATTCAGTTTCTCGGACCAGCTCTTGAGTCTTGGTTTAGCAAGAAACAAGTTGTTGTTGCATTATCAACTGCTGAAGCAGAGTACATGGCAGCTGGCAGAGCTAATGTGGATGAAAACTCAGTTATCTTATTATAGTTTTAAGCTTAATAATATTCCAGTTTGTTGTGACAATACTAGTGCAATTTGTATGGCGAAAAATCTTGTCCAACACTCTATGACTAAACACATAGAAATAAAATATCACTTTATAAGAGACTTAGTTCAAGCAGGACACATATGTCTTCATTTTGTATCTACTGAACTACAATTGGCTGACCTATTTAAGAATCCCCTTTCCAGTGAACGTTTTCTGCAGCTCAGCACAGTGCACAGAGATAGAGCTAAAATCTTTTGAACAAATTAAAAATCTAAAAAGCTAATACAACCATTGGGGGTCTGTTACTCTAGGTATCTTGCTTGTCTCGGTTTATAAAAATAGCCACTTTACGGCTCATGCTTGCTGTTTTTCAAGAATTTTTGCATGCTTCTGATTAATCATTATGTTCGTTGTCTGCGAGAAACTCTTCGCATCTCTTCTCCTCTCTCTATTCCTTCACTATTTAAGCGTCCCTCTCCTTTCTCTCCTCCTCACTCGCAGCAAACAAACCAACCACAAAGTCCTTTCCCTTTTGAAACAAAATGAGTGACTATCTCCATCGACCGTTCCGTTTTGATGGTCTTGTTCATACCTATCCTGGCTACATGTTTCATGAGCCTGTGGTAATCAACCACCATCGCCATCTCCATCATTTTGAGAATAGGAGACTCCACCATATCACTCAACTCGATCCTTATGAGTTCAACCTCTACAAGTTTGACATCATCTCTCTCATTGAGGGGTTGGGTTGGGATTTATTGCTGCGACAACCTCTCCATCCTGCCTGTCCTGGTGCTGTCAAATATTTTTACTCAAACCTTCGTTGTCAAGGTGTCAGCACGAGGTGCTTCACCACTGTTGTCTATGGTCATCTTCTGACCATCCCAGTTGAAGCCCTCAGTGGGATTCTTGGATTCCCTTCTCAAGAGCTTGACATTGCACATCCCTCTGAACTCTGAAGGCAAGAGTTCAAACTCTCCACTGAGTATGGGAACTTCTCAACCGAACCAACTGGTGGTTCAGATGTTCCTATCCCGATCAGATGGCTGCTTCCTAGACTGAGGGTGTTTCATCATTTCCTTACTCACGTGTTCTTCCCTCGATCCTTCAATCTTGATCGAGTTCTTCCAATGGATCTCTGGATTATCTCCAGTGCCACTGCAGGACACAAGCTGAACTTCTCCTTTCTCATGTTTTCACACCTCCTTCCAGTAGGAGATGCCGTTTGGATCCATTATCACTCGAATGCTTATAAATCTTGGAGTGGACCTATCTGACTTTTGTAGTGTATCCTCCACAATGTACGTGAGTGCATTGAATGTGCTCATGGTTCTTGATCTGCCTACTGACATTCCTCCTCTCCCTCTCCCTTCTGCATCCATTCTTGGACCTCATCGGCCAAGAAGGCCAAATCTACTGGTGAACCAAGTAAAGCTGGTGATCTTGTTTTCACTGTGTCTGAGGGAAACTCCTCCTCAGATGAATCTGATGCATCCGCTCCTGCAACCTAAGTGCTCTAAAAGTCAAGGGGAACTTTCTTTAGTTTAAGTGTTTTTATGGTATTAGTCCTTTTGTAATGTTGTCCGCTTGATCGGATCAGGCAGATGTTTAGGGGGAATTAGTTTCCATGTACTACCTTGCTTTCACTTCAAGTTGTCCCTCTATATTTTGGACAAGCTTCTTTTGATGTGCCCCTTTTGTTATGGTAATGCAAGTTTTCTTTTTCGAGGATTGTGCTGTTGTGGTTTGTTTTTTTAGGTGCTCTCTAGACTTCTCGGACGAAGGGGGAAATTGTTGGATGTTGATGTCTAACCTGAAGAATATGCAAATGGTGTCGTTGTGTGTTCAAACGCAACATCTCACCTTAACGACGTCGTTTTGGAATCGTCCTTCAAAGTCTCAGCTACAACCCAGCCATTACGCAATCTCCTCGTGTAGAGATCTCCATCTTCGATTCTCTCTCAAGCAATGGAGACATCTTCCTCGAGCCTGCTTTCCTCGTTCCGCTCCAAGATTGTCACCGCCTCTACAAGAGCTAATGATGATCACTGCCATTATTATCACCCTTAGCAAACAGTCATTTTCCTTGCCTCCTATAAATCATGTATTTGACCTAACATCAGAATTCGACAGTCTGTAGAAAGATAGTTGGTAGAGAGTCTGTTCTATCGTGGGTCCATTCGTGTTTTGCTTGAGTTCCTTAATTCACAGTGTGTGTGTGCTGGGTGAATTAAGGATTGGGAAGTTGTCAAATTGTTTTGAATTAAGTTCAAAGGGCCAACTTGATTGGCTTGACTAGGGTTCCTTCGTCCGTAAAATGCATTTCTTTATTTGTCAATAAAATGATATTTTCTCACAAAAGATGCAAATCAGAGAGTTTAAAGTAGGGCAATTTGAGTCTTTTAGATAAGTTTCATTCCACCTTCTGATTCACACATTCACATGGTATATCACCATTTAAAGAAAGAAGAAGCGGAGGTAACTGAAATGTCTAGGAGATGGAGTTTTTTAACTCTACTCTAATTATAATACGCCGAAGCTTAAAACTGAACCCCCATTTCAAAATTGCTGCCTCGGGAGCGTTTTACGGAGGGGTACTTTTGGAAACAGAAAATTGCAATGGGCTCCTTTGGAGACGTTGAACGGGCCCACTGATTGTCTAAGCCCAGGAAAAGAAAAGTCGTTCCAAGAGGAGCAACCAAATTATTTGTACGCTTCTTTTCCTGTTTCCGAAACAATCACCTCCATCTTCTCGAACCCTGCCTTATCCAGCGCGGCGTAGGCCGCATCCACCTAGGCGTCGAACATGTTGTCGTAGTGGAGATTCGTCTTCGCGTCGAAGATCCCCGAATTGGGCTGGAAAATTGCGAAATTGAGGTCGATGTGCTCTGGATCGCTCTTGTAGGCTAAGAATGGGTACCCGTTGATGTAGAACGGGGATCCAATTTGTGAGAAGAATTGGAGCAATGGAACCATGAATACCGCGATGTCGGATCGGAATATGCAGGCGGAAGGAGGAAACGAATTGGCGAAGACGGCTTCGGAATTAGGGCTTGAGAGCTCGATCTTCTTGTGGAGATTGAGGCGTTGGAGGGCGGCGTAGACGTTTTTTACGGAAGGGAGTAAGGCTTCCCAGAGCTCAATGTGCGTGCCGCCGAGGATTTCGTTTCCGACGGCGATTCCCACGATTTTGGTTCCGGGGAGGTAAGGCTCGACGTTTTCTTTGATCAGAGCTCTGCAATTGTGTTTCAGATTGGGTCGACCGCTCCATTGAGAAGTAAAATCGTGGGAATCGCCTCCCCAACGAGCTCGCACATGTCTCCCTTCCGTCATGTCTATTAGAAGAGCTCGCTTATGCTCTTCTAATAAGGATGATATCCTTAGGGGAGTATGGTGATCGACAGGGGATTAAAGGTTTGGGATGAGATTGAGATTGGGGGATGTGGCCGGCGGGAGTGAAGCAGCAGATGTAGGTAGGGCTGGGAAAATAGACCAGACCGTTAGAAAAACCGTGGTCCAAACCGTACCGCACAGTTTGGTCCGGACCGTAGACCGTGAAGTATGGTCTGGTCTGGTCCATGGTCTGTATTATTTTATGATTTGATCTCTTGGTCTGGTCTGGTCTAGACCGCGGTTTACCGGACCAGACCGTAGACCCAACTGACTTGTCAATACGTGTTAACAGCCCATTCGACCACTCTCCAAACTCCCACAACGACACCCAAGTCTCAACCTTAATTTTGTGAATCTCTTCCCTCCTTCATTCACAACCACATTTAACCACAAAGTAGAGATAATCGTGTCTCCATATGACATTATGTTAATGTTTATGACATTATGGTGCAAGCTGGGATGCTTTTACTTTGTATCTTTGTTATGTACTAAGATTTAGAGTATCAAAATTATTCATGCATGTTAGGATTAATGTTTTAAGGCAAATAACAATTATTTTTCTTGGTTATTGGTTCAATTTTTTGTGTGGTTGACTAAACAAATTATTCATTTTTCGTTGAGTGTGGTTTATCTGGACCAGACCAGACCAAACCAGACCGCACAGGCGTGGTCTGGACCAGACCGTATAGTCTGTGGTCTGGTCTGTGGTCTATACTTTAGCCTCTCGGTCTGGACCGTAGACCGTATATATGGTCTGGTCTGGACCAGACCGCACCGTTTCCCAGCCCTAGATGTAGGGTTGAGGTTGAGCTGCGTAGGCGGCGACTCTTGAATCAAGGAAATTGGATAGTGGTCTTCACCGAATCTAAGATCAATTTCATCAGTAGGTGAGTTGAACCTTACTATTTTGATTCGATTAAGTTCAGCGGCCTAGGAGGCATAGTCAATCTCTATGACTTCTCTGCACAATTCTTTGATTATGGAGAAAAGAGCAAAGCTTATGAAGTAAAGAGGTATGTAAGAGATTTGTAACATAGGTAATTTGTGCGTCCAATAGTGGGGGCCTTAATTTATCCGTCTCCTGCAATCTGAATTGAATATCATTCTGCAACTTGAGTCTTTATTATGTGGCGTGTAATTGAATTTTCTTTGTTTTGATGTATACATTATCTGCATTAACTTGCAGTCTATTAGTTGCATCGTATTAAATATTATTTTTTTTACAGTCAAAGCAATCCTCTTTTGAACTTTGCATATACTCTTTTTATGTTTTGTTTCATAAGATTATAGATTTCTTGCCTTTGATTTTAAATAAGCTAAATATGATGGTGGTGGTGGTGTATGAATTGCTTTTGGGCTCTATTTGTAGTGGAGTGATTAGAGATGGTCATAGTACTCTTTATGGTATCTTAGTCCAATTTATTTTAGGTGTTGACTTCTGCATGTTTAGTCTTGAGTTGATGTACAGAGTGTTTTGCAGGTTAAGGTAGGGAGTTGAAGAGGATGCTTGAAGACTAAAGGTTTGGTGGCCTAAATTTTAGTTACAGAAGGATAATGTTCTTTTTTTGAAGGATGATGTTCTTATTGTTAATTTTGACAGCACAAATGAACTTATCTCATTACTTTTTTCCCACTAAACATGATTCATGGTTCTGGTTCTATGCTTTTGGTCTTGGTTTGATGAACCGAAGAGAGGAAAGTTTGTTATGGTGATAGAGGTTCTCATTTCTTCTAATTATGATAATTTACTTACTTTGAGCTTTCCTACTGATTTTATGGAATCACTTGCTGTTTTGGTTTTATTTCTCTGTGCCTCTTAGTTGTGCAACTCCTTTCTCTTAAGCTATTTACCAGGTACCTCCAGTATAGAAGTATTTCGGCTTCAGTTTCATCAAAGAGTGTCTTCAACAAGACACATAGGCACGACGAAGGGGAACAAGTTTCTACTTTCTTTTGTTTGATTTGTTTTTGAGATTTATGTTCAGGTGTATCTTTTTTCAGTTGTTTCTAGCCATTTGGAATCCAACAGACCAACACCATGTCTTTTTTTTTAGAAAAACCATGTCTTTTCTGGGTGTTAGCAACTTGAAGCATCTAAGAGAATATCATATAGACATGAATGATAGAGATTGAAATGAGCTCTTTTTTTAGCAATGTTAAATGGTGCTACCATGTTGGTGATGGGGAGATGGTTAGAGGTTTCTATGAGGCATTATTTAAAATTTTTCCAACTGCACTCATTCTAAATCAAGCTAGGTGTCGTTCTTTCACGAATCAGTAGTAAAATCAATTTCGGCTATACTTTATGAGTGTTCTTTTCACATATGAGGACGAGGATGATACAGAAGAAAAAAAGAAGCCAAAGAAGAACGAATGGCAAACCCTTGAATGGCGAACATGAGTAAGGCAACAATGTGGAGTTCAATGGGAAAGGTCAAAATTCACAGACTTGAGTACTCTTTAGCCTACTACAATTTCATATTTCCCTGTTTACAGAATATTTATCATATGTTGTGTTTTTTTTTTTTTTTGTTAGATTTATTTGCATTCTTTAAAGGAGGGTTTGTGCAAGGTTCAAGTATGAGTTGACAATGGTGGGTGTTGATTCATTTGGTATCATGTGTTGAAGAATGGTGGGGTATATGCTAAAAGCATGACACCTTGCTAATGTGAGATCATGCTAAGAAAACGCCTAATCTAAAGAGCGAGATATGCTTAAAATACTTGGAGTATGCAGGTTAGAGTTGAATGCGTATTGTTTGAGATTCTTTGTAAATGTTCTGTTTCTTAGCATAGTTGTGCTTATTTGTCTCCGAACTTTATCATCTTACATATGTTTCTTCCGATTTCAGTGCTGAGAAGTAAATCTTTGCGAGGAACCAAAAGGTGTCCGATTCTGATGTTTATTCGGTGTCAAGAAGACAATTGATTCCAATAAAGAATTATTGACTAACCTACCCGGCCAACGGGCCGGGTTATAAGCTAGTAACTCATTACGCATCATGTCAATTGCCACGGCCTCAAAATATCACAACGCACTCTTTGTTTACAAAATGAGTTATTTCGGCTAAATAACTCATGCATCCAAGTGATCTGTTAGACATGGTTAGGACACCTTGCTTGAGGATTTTCTTAATGAATTAATAATTCAGAACTGCAAAGTTTAAGACAACCGCCCGAGTGTAATTAGTATGAGTTAAATAGTCTATATTAAAGGAGAAATTATCATAATTTACAAACTTAATTTTCTATCAATTTTTTTGAATTCAATAATTTTGTGAGCTATTTTTCTTATTTTTAATTTACTTAAGATAAAAATTATTTGGCCTGATATAGAAGTGCTGTAAAACTGCATATCCAATATCCATATAGCCTCAAAACTCACACCAAAGTACAACACCTACCAAAATCTGGCGCAACCGAAACACCAGCCTGCGTTATGGGCCGCTTATGTTCTCATTAGCTCTGGAATGGAAAACCTCAACAATCGACATTTGGTAACATATTAACTTCATCCAACTTCTCCCTAAGCTGATTTTGATTCTTCATCAGGAGATCCATCTGAATCAGAACCACCGTCCACCATTCTTTCTAGTGAGTCCATTTCCCCAGCTTCTGAGAAGGTGTGCACCCGTAGCTGATCAGCATCTTCACTGCAGAATACGAAACAAAAGAAACCCTCAAATGAGAAGTGAAAAATAAAGTGTTCGGATCTGAGTGACACTGGGAATAGGAGGAACATGTAAATTGACCCTACTGCACACTTCCTATCTTATCCTACAAAGATCGTAACACGAATTCAAATGAATTCGAGGATAGAAGACACATACTCTGTAACCCCGAATATCTCCTTCACCACAAGCGAGCTGTCCCTCGAACATAATTCTGGCAACTGGCCATACCAAAGAAGCAAAAAACCATCAATTTCAGTAAGAGAAATGCTAATTCCTAGAAAGAAAGGAACCATGCACAAACAACCACTCATTCAAACTAAAATGACATCCACCAGGAATCGGGATGGGAATAATTTGGCTAGTTTGATCTACAGCTTTCGTTCTTATTTTTATTTCCAGTTTTCGGTCAATGCCGAGAACGCGGTTGCTTCTAAGAGAGGCAATATGAAGACAATGCATCTTGAGATCAATATTACTGAGCAGTCTAGAAACAATCCATCAAAGGTAAAGGGATAAGAAAATAACGTCCAGTTATCAACAAATGACTTAAGAAAGTCTCCTCTGAAATTATAACAGGTAGAAGGTCACCAATCTGATCAAACCCTGACCTCGGATAAATAAAAGACCTTCCCGAATAGAACCTGAACAGCAAGCTTTCTCTTAAATCCCTTTTCAGTATATCCTGAAACATCCATGACAACGGGGCCTGAAAATTGCCAAGACAGTCAAAATTGGTTAAAACCGCAATCAATACCAGGGCATCTCTCCTCTTTACTGAAATTTGGTAGTTAATTGAGAATGAAAAGTAACTGCATGCTTCTTCTCTGATGACACCTAGGACCACCACACTATATAAAATGTCAAATAACAGTAGAGATTTACTATTGATTTTTGTGTAACTAACTGTCAGAACAGACTAGATCATTTGTATATGAAACTACGATCGACATTGGCCTGGAAAAGAGCGTCATTTGATTCTACATCAACAAAACATTTGTAATCACACACCTAGCACCAACAGCACATGCTAAGCGTAAGATTTGAATAGTAGTTCCACGGTAGAGAGCTATAAACCAATTAATTTGTGCAGATACTCTGTGGCTTTACTCGATGTCAAAGCATTGTGATAATTATTGGCACAAGACAAAATTTACGTAGAGAACTATTAGTCAATTTACTAGAGACCATAGTGCGCTCCTGTACTCGATTTCCTAGCATTGTGTTAATTATAGGCAAATGTGGCGAGCATAATTGTCTCAACTTCTCAAATAAAAGTTCTCAGCAGCTCAGCTTGTCGTTGTGTTGCAGCAACTAGATTGCAGCAACTATTGAAGCAAGTAAGCTGGTGTGACTAAATCAAGAGAAAAAAGGAAATTTAAGTCAAGAAAAAATCCACCTACCATCTCAAATTGCAGGATATGTAAGCAACAAGCTTCACACTCTTTTTAACAACAGTAAGCTAGCCATTTTCTTCCTGGTCTTTACTGGGTGTTGAGCACCAACGGTGAACAAGACTAGGTATGAAAGGTTACAGAGCTGAAGGTTGCTAGATGCTACTGTACTGTACCATGTTCGTATGTAAAATTAAAAGGTACTAAGGAATTTCGCAGGGTAATTGATTCAAAGATGTCTATTATAAACTAAACAATTGCTTAACTAGTTACGCAACAGAAGTATCATTGGTGTTTAAAAAAACATTATACCTTTATCACGCACAATCAGCCGAGAGATCTCATTCAAAATCGCAGCCATTTGGGGGTCACTCAACTGTGAAGCCACCCTGAGCCGGATCAAGTTGGCCACCAGTTCTGGATTGAATGGTTTCTCGTTCAGTGCGTAGCGGATATACTTGCGCAAAATGTCCTCCATAGTGAAACCTGTCTGGACACGAATCAGGAGTTAATGAAATTGGAGGGAAATGTTGCAGCACTGAGATGTTACTAGGATTGCCCCTTTCATTTCCTCACCTTCTTCATTAGCACTTCCAAATCTGAAGGTTGCAATGCATCTCCCTCGCTCAGAAGCAACTCGTCAATGGATCTACACAGTGTAGCGTTTTTATTCACCTGAAGTAGAGATGTAATCCGAACAAATTAAACACAAGTTTTCAGGTCAAATATCATCTTGTAAGGTGTATGTCTGTATGAGACGATTCAAGTTGAAGGATTTGGACTCAGGGATCATGGCAAGCACAATTCCAGCAGAGATAATCTGAATTCATCAAGACTAAAGGTAACATTACACACGAAGGCATACCAAGCAACAAATTTCGGAGGCAAATTAACTGCTGAGTAGGTAAAAGGACGCACAAAAGAACTTAGAGAGGAAGAAACAAACCAGTCGCCGGCGCTTGGTTTTTGGAGAAGACAGCTTTCTGACGGTCTTCACGAAGGCAATAACGAAGGTAACGCCGGCGTAAGCCAACGGGAGCGCAAGAATCCATGGAAGCGAGCTCTGGCCGACTCTCGGCCCAGGAATTGCCTGAGTGACGGAGCCTGTGAACTCGACTAGGTCCAACGCCTTCTCCTGAACCCAAGGCAAGTCCTCCTCCACCTCTACCACTTCCTCTTCCTCCTCCGCTTTCTTGTTGTCCTTCTGAAGACTGCTCTTCGAACTAGCTGCCGCCATTGCCAGGGCAATCCTCCCCCTGGGACCAGGCAGAAATGGAGAAGCAGGAAACGAGACGGCACGAGGAAGGAAGCATGGGTTCGGTTTCACAATCTGAAGAAGCCGAGATGAGTCGGCCGTGGAGGAGGAAGAAGAAGAAGAAGCAACTGTGGGGATGGAAGCCATCGATGTCGGCTCAGGAGAATTGGAATTGCTGGAAGAGGAGAAGTAAAGATAGAAAGTTGGCCTCCGTCGAGACTCGAGAGTAGTTAATCTCTCAACTCAATTGATTATTGGGCTTTTTGCAGTTGAGACACGATCAGGAAAAAAAAATTGGATCGAAGGCCCACCGTTCTTTTAATGTATATTGGGCCAGCCCGAATATCTGGTATCCGTTATTTTAACGATCTGTACGCTAATAAATACTGTGTTTGCTACTAACAACACAGACTGCGCATATATAAAGTGAAGAGAGAACACATTCATCTTGATGATGATGATGACGACTTCATTAGGCACTTAGCACGAGCGATAACAATGAAGGAATCACAGAACACTTTCAAATCCCTACCTAAACCTCTATGATAACGTTAACCAATCAAAACAACATCGTATTAGCGTTCTGGCTTGTGGAGGAGGGGAGGTTACGCATTCAAACTAACGCAGAGCATTCCCTGACACCTCCCCCTCCAATCAGCACTATCCGAATGCTGCTTCGTCTGCAGGCAGCAGCAGCAACTGCATCAGTGATGAGATACAAATTTTTGTTAGCCATCTTTCCGGTGCCTCGGTGTAAAACCATGTGAGCATGCCACCAAGAAACTGTCTCCATTTTAGCATGAATTTACAGGGAAAATCCAGACGCCATTCCTTCCTCGTCGATCTCAACCCCAGTCAGTTATGAAACTTCTTGTAGAGCTAAATTCAGCTCCTGTGCAGACTTCCCTACCGAACCCCCTCGTCTATTCAACCCAACAACAGAGAATTATTATTATAATACTTGCAAGATAATACTCCACGTTTACTGCCATCCAACCAAACTGATGTAGTTAAAGAAAAGCTACAAATACATACCTTGCAAAGGAAGGCAAGCAGCGCTTGACCTTTTCCAGCTCGACAAAGCAGAGATTGCAACGTTCCAGCCTGCACGTGAGACCAAAATTCTAAACTTAGTGTTTCAAATAGAAATGTCATTACTAAACTGCAAGGAAACTTTAAGGCAGCTACTGATTACCTTCTCTCTGCCTCGATGTCTACACCAATAGTGGTTGAAGCTGATACAGTTGAGAAGATCACTGTACCAAATGTCCGGACAAGCTTCACCAGCAATTCCATCGAGATGCTCAAATGCCTAAACTTGGGAGGAAAGGGACACCCCCAGTTAAGATTTCGCACAATGGACTTAACACGGAGGAATCAAAACCAAGTGACAAATCTTGCAAAGACTTAGTGAAAAATCTCGTTTGTAGGTTGTTTATGCAAACTCCTAGGTCACTCACACTTTTCGAACTACCAAGTCACTGCCAAACACTTCATCCAGGCAGCAACACCTTTCAGAGGGAACCTCATATTATATGAAACGATAATTTTTTGAAGTTGTTATTAAGTATAGACCCCCATCCATCCATGGGTCTTTTGCACTTTCGCATAAACACTCATTTTATTATTGATTAGCCATGAAAAAGGACAGCAAGTTCTCAATATCAACAATCACATACCTGTCCATTTTGCTTTCGAGAAGAAATGTTAGAACAGGCAGAAGATACGTGGAAACGTCTAAGGTAACAATGTGGACGTTCTCAGCAAGAATGCTGATTACATCAGCAAGAACCTGCAATATAGTCCAAGCACAGACATTAATGAAGAGTAAAGATTAAGCAAAAATACTGTCATTACCGGCAGGGAAAGAAAAAGACAACTCACAGCATAATCGGCCATCTTCTCCATAACACCGATGGCCCCCTTGACATCATTCCTCTCCCAATATCTATACACAGCCTGACATTAAACACTTGAGTCACAGATCATCAACAACAACTAGCTGGAAGAAAAGTAAACAATTAACAAATAATTATAAACTAATCTGTTCGGGACGCTGTAACTAAGAGACCAGCAGTGCAAGATTATTCATATACATTCAGCTCCATGTCAACACTGTCCCATGTCCCCAAGCAAAGTCTGGTTAATAAAATGATGCTATTTAGAATGAAATACTGGTATATGCACCAAGAGTTCCAAGGAATCTAACAGCGAATCAAGAGAAGAAAACTAGATTTATCCATTTACAATGTAAATGAACAATGGGAGGATAGCCTCTTAACACAGTGCATTCAGAGCATATATTTATCCACTTACAAGACTAAGCAATGTCCTACTAATAAACCAACTCCAGACTTCAGTCCCTAAGCAAGCTCCATCTACCAAATGGATGATTGCAGTTTATACTTCTATCTCCCTCTCCAATATTCCAAGGGGGTTCAGTAAAGGTAATGGGGATCAAAGACATCCTAGATTCAAACCTTCAGGTCAACATTCACCTATCCAAAAGATAACAAATATCCCAACCAGGGATCTACTCGAAACACCTCCCAGCCATTCAACCTGCTGCTTTTTATCTAGTATCGCCTTTCAACCCATGCTATATTAATCAACGTTTATTCGCTATTTTTAATCTCACACAAAAGTAAAATGTATATTTTGAATCCTAGGTTACCTGCAATTTGGCTAATCGAGATTGCATAGAGCTCACAAATTGGTCATGCGGTTCCATTACATCAGCTATATAATCCTCATCAGCGCTCAAAACCGTCTCTGCTTCAGGAGATGGGGTGTACTCTCTCTGCAAATGTTGAAATAGTGAGAGATGCAAAAGGAAAAAAGTTGAGAAATTGGACAGGTAAGTAAGGCAGAGTACAGCCAATCTAAGGATTCAATAAGATTGGTTTTACTTTTTTTTTTTCCTTTTTTTTTTTTTTTTTTTTTGGGGTTAGGGGGTAGACTATGTTAGGGTCACATTGTTTCTCAATGACAGATAGTCCCACAAGTTTATACCCAATTGCATCTTTTAAACATGTGGTGTACAACTTCTCCCAGGTAGAAATCAGATGCTGCATTAACTTGGTCAACTTGTGACACAATTCACATAAGTGAAGACAAATGAAGTGAAGCCACTTCCAATAAACAAATGCTGCATTCTAAAAAACAGTCATGTGGCTAGTAGCAACAGTTCCAAATAAAGCAGAACGAACCAAGCAGGTAACCGTACTCTATTAAGAGGGAGCACAACCCTGGGCGCTCTCCTAGGTGACACATCAGGTGTAGCATCCCGATAGATGGTTCTTCCATTTTTCTCCATATTAAAAGCAAGTGATCGCATTCTTCCTACACATTTTCACGAGCATAGAACATAAGACCTCAATTTTTCAGAAATACCAACTTCCAAATACTCACGAAGAAGGAATATACCTCCTATTTGGCCTTCAAACGAGGGTGCATCCCTAAACACTTTATGCCCAGGATTCTCATCTGCAAAAGACCAAAGAGTTCAGTTCCAAAAGCCAACTACTCTAAGTACAAGTGCCAATAATTGTTATCTAAATAGACAAATGACAACTGAAAATGAGTTGTATTTCTATAACCGTGGCTTTTGAGGTCAGCAATCAGTCAACATGCCACACATGCTAGGTCAGGTGGCAGTTATGACTTTCAATGGGCCTACTTACTATTACCATACATGCACAAACTTTAAAATCAAACAACACTATATAATCTAAACTGGGACTTACTAGTTTCAATGGGGTAGGTCGAAGGTTGATCTGTCATGAAACTTGATTCTTGTCTTCGGGATGCAATCAGCCTATCATCCTTGATACTCCTTTCAGTAGCCAGCCTTCCATGAATGGAGCCCTTAACTGCAGGAGAACTTGTCCTGTCCACAACATTGGTTCCCGTAGGTCCATGCCGGACAGAGATAGTCTGATGCTCAATGTCATCATTTCTACAAGGGAACCTTCGGAAATCAGTAGTCTTTGACTGCAAAGGGAACTGCATCAATCTGCCACTGATACTAGTTTCTTTTCTCAAATCAGAGTCGTGTTCCAACCTTGCACTAGTTCTAGGAACAATGACAGGTATGACGTCTGCCTTACTAAAGACTGGACCACTCACTGCTGGATTGGCCTTCGAATAATTCTTCTTTGTGACTCCATTACTTGGAACTGTTACGGAATTGGCCAGTACTTTTACACCAGAGTTTACACTGATCTTGCGAGGGGTACCAGGTACAGTTCCTATGGCTTCAACCAGAACCAGGCAAAAGGTCAGGAGCATGTATTCTGTATCAGACTAACAAGAAGAGAAACAAAATGAAGAGACATATTTTTTCAAGTACAGAGCTAGTCTATTTTGAATTGACCACACTTCGGAAAAAGCACATCCCAAGATATGGAATAAGTACTTTTAGGTGGCGGGGTGGGAGCTCCCTGTAATGGATTTGTCTAAGTTGAATTTAATCCATAGATATGCTGACTTTTGATTTGATAGAATCAAGTTTGCAGATATGACAAAAGTATAATATCTCTTTGTTGTGTGCTTAACTTCAACAACTTTCTCAGTCCCTCACCAAAATTACAACTTGTTCAGGAATCTTGAAGGTGAAATTAGTTCCTGGACCATGATATTAAGTACTAACTGCGAAACACACATGACAGGCAGCACCTGAATCTCCCTCACCAGAGTTTTCCTTAATCAGCACGTATGCCAGTTCAGATAGTTGCAAAAGTAAATTACTCCAAAGGAGATTTAATTTAAGTTCAAGAAGAGAAAGGTTATTGTCTAGATTATTTCACCCAGCTTTAAATTAAGTAGGAGAAAGGGAAGGTGAGACGCCAGCAAGCATGCTATTCTTATGAATGAAAAAGATCAAATCAAATATGAAGAGCTTATCAAGACATGATCACAAAAAGAAATAATGAAACCAAATAATATGTGAAAGTAACATACATGTTACAATCTTTGGCTCTTTGGGTGAATCCTTATTGGTATCAGAATTGTGAGAGACTGATAATCTCCCAAGCGACTTGGTTTCGATTACCAAAGAGTCTGCACCTTGTGAAACTGACACCCTGCCCAAACTTGCTTTTGCAGTGTTCTCAGTTAGTATTGATTTATTCCCAGTTCCACTGGCTTTAGATTCAACATGGCTATTGAACCTCTGAGAACTGCTAAGTGTAGATGACTCTGTGTGCTATCAAGACAGAAAACAGTAAATAATACAATAGACTGAAGTCAAGCTGAAAACAATCGAGATCCAGAAAATATCCAAGGTATGCCATACCGAGATGTCCGCAACCCATACTCCTACGCAACTTTGATTGTAAGAACAGCCCAGGAGCTTTCCATCATTATTAACATGAAGATCTGACAATCTGGACCATCCCACATCAATGGCATCGTGACATCTTATCGGCTCCCAAGAGAAAGCCTACATGAAAACAAGCGGAAGCTGATAACCACAAGAGGAGCATTAAAACTACCATAATCAACCCTAACTGACAAATTGCAAAAAAACATACCTTCAGACTTTCCTGATAACCACAGAGGACGGTTCGTCCATCAGGATTAAAGGTCAAACAACGTACTCCACTCGCCTTAATAAAATAGAACGGTTAGAAAAGGATTTGTAAGAAGGCCATACATGACCTATTTTGATAATAGCAGGCATTGCATAGAGATCAAATTACCTCTGGACCAGCAGAACCAATCAATTCAAAGGTTTCAAGATCAAAGAACTTAACAGTTCTGTCGGCAGATCCTAGACAAGGAAAGAAAATAAAGGTCAAGAAAAACACATGAAAAAACTAACAACGGTCACTAATTAGAATTCCAATCTGCAAAGGACATATTAACGATCAACTGAGATAAGCTGACAGAAACTTATACCTGAATACCTGATTGTTACCCTAGCAGAAATAATGAGATCATTTCAAGCAGAAATTGAGGCACAGGTATTTCAGAGGCGAGCCTTGATTGAACTTTCAAAATCAAATGAAAAATGACAAGGTCCAGCAATAAAATAAAGCTAACCTGTAGCTAAAAGGAACTCATTGGGATGGAAATCTATGCATTGGATCTGGCCATCATGACACTTGAACTCGTGCAATAGCTTCCCAGCAGTCAGATCCCACAGCTGCTTAGATAACACAAATGGCCAACTAATCAATTAAATGCCTAGAACCGATCTTGAAAGATATGTTTCTATTTTCAGCTACAAATAGCAATAATATAGACATACGAGTATTCAGCCTCTAAATGGCGTTAAACAGACTTTAATGTGATGATATTATACACAGTTACATATTAAAAATCAAGAGCCTGGTGCCAGTTTACCTACACAACACTGAAATATATACAAGAACTTGCAGTTGTTGTTATAGACAGAACAATCTCAAACTCCACAATCCATCTCCTATTGTAGTTGACATGATTAGACGCACAAAAGAAGGCAAAAAGTTAAAATCCATATCAAGTATATGAAACAAAGATAGAAGAGCTAAGGTCTATCGTAGCTGCACCATCACAAGCAAAAGCTTGTTTTCTGGTGCGAAGGCCAAACGTAGAAGAAAATAAAAAGTAGATATGGAATTTGTCTAAGCATGTTAGAGAAGAAGGGATAGTAAAGTAACTACAACCTTCACAGTGTTGTCCTGTCCGCCAGATACTACCCAGCGACCATCTGGAGTGCATCTAACTGCATTGACCCCTCTAGTGTGCCCCTTGTAAGTGTGGATAGAACCACCCTTCTTCCTAATGTCCCATATCTTAACGTTCGTATCTGAAGAACCAGATACAAAGAACTCTCCGAAAGGGTGAAAGTCCACGGATATGCAGTTGGACATATGGCCCCTGAGGGTACGGACAACTGGGAGGAAAACCAAACAGCAAAAAGGATATGTCGTCAGTTACAAGCTGAGATGGACGTACAGTCATGTCCAAGCCGGGATGAGGGTGCATCATCATAAATTTCATGGAACAAAAACATACTCTTTGCCTCCTCTAAATCCCATAGTTTGATTGTACCACTTGCAGACCCCGCAGCCACTAAGACTTCCGAAGAATCAAAATTGACTGAATCGATCCCACTATTATGTCCCGACAGACTCTGCACATTGATCATTCCAAAACATCAAGTGGACTGGACCAACAGATACGAAGCAGCGGGGAATTGTTCGAAGCGAAATGCAGTAAGAATGTCAAAAGTCAAGGAAGCAGCTAGTTGCGAAGAGCTCACCAATATTGCATTGGGTTTGCCAATAGCCCAGAGATTAACCTTGTGATCTTCACCTCCAGTGACAAGAATCCTAGACGATTTCCTCCCAATCTTGAGACAATTCACAGCCGAAGTATGTGCCACAAATTCCTCTTTCAAGGAAGTAAAACCCGCGGTCAAGGAAATGAATTTAAAAGGAAATAAAGCAATGCATATGAGATCACCGGCCATTTACAGGGACTAGAAAAGGATACGGAGCTTGTAGGCGCGTTTGGTAGTCATGGTCGCGCCGATGAAGAAGAAGCAACGAAGACCAAACAGTACAAATTAATAGAGCGAGCTTAGAAATGGAGTAGCGGCAGCAGGCTGCTTCTTCTTCTTCTTCTTCTTCTTCTTCTTTTTCTTCCTCTTGGCTCTTGCCCTTGTCATTTATCACTCAGAAAGCATTGCCACTTTACCAGCAAGCAATCCATCCAATACGAATCAGATCTCGATTATCCCAAGTCGCCTCCGCCGCCCGCCGCCGTTTATCATACAGCACTGTAAAATGAGAAATTGAGGGACGAAAAGGGAATCGACTAGCAAGATCAAAGGTAAAGCTAGAGCATGAAGACATTGACAAGGTAAGGACTAAGGACCGAAAATGACCTAGGGAAAGGTGGTGGAGGAGAGGGAAAGTTGGAAGGTTGCTATTGCAGGAGCTAACTGGCTGGCTGGCTGCCTGCCTGCCTGCCTGGTCCGGGTTGCCTACCGCCTTATTCCTTAATCCTTCTTTCCTTCCTTCTGCCAACTGCTTTCGTCGTTAATCGTTGCCAAGCCTTGTCTGGCTTCTTCTCCTGCTTCCTTCTTCTCACTCAACAAAGTGTACTTAACGAAAGGAGAAGAAGGAAAAAGTTCAGAAAATTAATTATGAGATGCGAGGGCCTTCAACTTCAATTTTTGAAATTAATTTTGACTGGTGCGAGTGGCCGGTGGGAGGAACCGTTGTCGAAGGTAAACTAAAATGAGACGAAATGTGGGGGGGAAATACAGAAGCAGCAGGGCCAGGCCCGGTGGATAGAATATTTGGGCCAGGCCATTTTCTACCTCCAAATCACGTTCGCACTCTTAGGCTCAGCCCAGTCCCAACTACATCAAATTACAGTTTTAAGAGCCCAAGTCTACTACTGATGGTCAATTGGTCATTCCCTTGGCAAAGATTACTAGTCTCATATCTGGCATCTGCTCTTCTGGGGCATTGATAATGCCACAGCTCCTTGGTTTTCAGTTTTCACAAACCCAGGAGACTAATGCAGCACCAAAAAATTGGCGAAAAAGTGGTACCTTTTCAAGGACAAACATAAATTGGCGGAGTAGTTTGGAATTTGTGTTTAAATCCATCATCCAAATTCCACGAATAAATAAAGCAATACTGATATCTTTTATACTAGTTTGTATCCGGCTCGTTGGCCGGAAAATTCAATTAGCTCAAATTACATTTTTGTAACGAATTTTAGATTTTATTTATTCGATGTACGGGTAAGAAAACTGATTAGCTCAAATTATATTTGTGCATCGAATTTGATATTTTATTATCAATGAAAACTTTATACGACGCCATCAAAGGTAACTAATAAATCTTATAGTCATGATAATAAACTCATCGTTACAATTATATATTTGAGTGGGGTTTTAGGTGTTAGATACTAATGCATACATAATAGTTAAGAAAATCCAAACATTATAAAACCCTAAAATTTACTGTACCAAAACGATCTTTGACTTTTCATGTGGAGTTGATAACATAAATTGTCATTCTATTATTCATTTTTCTCAAATCTATCCCTCTACTATTTTTTACATGCCCTTGTACTATATAGTATATACGTATTATCAAACTTGCCATTTGTTATAATTTTCGATAAAATTCTGTTAAATGCGGCCGAATCACGGTTGGAACGGCTGAAAATGACAAATTAAATTTACCCCCCTTTCTATTACTTATCTTCTCTCTTTGCAATTCCCAATAATTAATAGCCACTATCCTATCATCCATATCCCTTCCGCTTTCTCTTCCTTCGATCCAACAACAATTAAGTGCAAAAACTTTTGTCTATCACGAAAAACCCCGGAAGACTGACATTTGAATTTCAACCAAACTCCTTGAAAGTCCACAATTATTTATCGATTTGAATCAATCATCAAACATGGAATCTAAACTTTTTTAGAATAACCGGATTTCAAAGTATCAAAAGTTGTCAACCCGGTTTAGCCCGTTGGCCCAGTCAAGTAAGTGAGTTGATGATTAATGGTCCGATCATTTTAGTCTGCTTTTGCCCGGATATATAAAAAAAAGTTATTATATTGTTCATACATTTATAAATTACATAAAATCTCATCTACATATAACTGCACCGAGAAAAAGTTACCTCTAATCTATCAAGTTGAATAGTGATCCAATCTCTCAGACAAAAATGCTAAAATTGAAAACGAAACAGGAAACCAACAAAATTGTTCTTCTCCTTTCTTTGTTTGATGATCTTTGTGTCCCCCTCCATTTCCAATACATAGAGGAGATCTCTCGAACGCATTTAAGCTTGGAGATAGATTATGATCAACTCCAGCCTAGAGCGAAATATGGATCAAATTAATATACTAAAGATAAGTATGACTAAATTCTGTTGAGTAAGAACTTAAAAAAAAACTGAAGCAAATGTAGGGATTGAGTTCATAATTTACTTGCAAGTTGCAACAATAGCTTGACACTCTCCAAGGATCGTCATGTAGTTTTCATTAGTAATGAATATATTCCTTTACATGCACAAAAAACAGGAGGTTCAAGCTGCAAAGGTACACAAAATAGCATCGGATTCTCTCTAATATTCTGTTCTTCTCTTCCTAGTGATATCTAAATATCAGTAGGACAGTTTTTGTTGAGTAAAAATATGCAGGGATTCGGTTCATAATTTACCTGCAACAATAGTTTTACACTCTCCAAGGACCAGCATATAATTGCTACTGCCTATGAATATAACCACCATAAGTGAATTTGCAACACTAACTCTTCACCATTTTCACTTGGACCGGAGAACATAGGGAGAAAACAAATTAGGGGCAAATAAAACTTGGGTAAATCTTACATTTAGCTCACTACAAAGTTTTGCCCACGACATTGCAGTGCCAAATCTTGCTTTCATATAAATTTTCAGCAACTCTAGATAATGGAAGAATGACCAATCTCTTATAGCCTGGATGCTGAACCTCATAAATCAATCATCTATAAAGAATCAATAACCTAGAGATTATTCGACTTCCAAAATCAATTTCATTTTGGGTTTAGTGATATACAAAGCAACACTCTAAAATCAATCATCTATAAAGAATCAATAAGATCACAAACATAGAAGAGGAGGAAGCATTCACATTGTTTAAATTTCATCCAAGAAGAGGAACTGGGATCTCTTTGGGAAGAGGAGGTGTTCCCTTTTGAACCAAACCCACTATCATAAGGAAAGAGAGTATTAATATCCAACTCATTCCCAACTTGAAGAGAAGTTGGCTATAACGTTAAGCAATCAGATCGAAAAGATTAAATTAAGTCATACAACTAAACATAGATAATAATCCTCTCTTGTAGATGTGTCAAAAGCTAAACATTGATATCATACAATGAATTCATACACAAACAATGATATCAAACACATCTAAAGTAAACATTAAGCTCCTATCTGATCCTTAAAGGAAGAAGCTCACCTTTTAAATTTGCTAGCAAGAACGGATCGACTCACTACTTCAACCATTGTATATGTGATGCCTTCCACTGTCCTGTTTGTTGACTGTAAGAAACCAGTATAAACATAATTATAATAAAAGGTCTGATACATTATAATGAAGAACTGCAGAGAGAATTGCTTTGTGAGATTATATCATACTGAACATGGTCAATGAGTAGGTAGGTCATGCTATATTGATATCAAATACCAAAATTTGGTTCATATTTAAATGGGATTGTTCACACTCATACACAAACAATGGAACCACCTTGCTTCAACAGATAAACAACGAAGAGAAAGAGAAGTCTACATACTAATACTGCAATTAATTAAACATCAAGTAAGTGGCCCTCCTATTCTACACGACATACATAGCATATGAAACCACATGTTCACAGATCTAAAAATAAGCCCCACATAAGCAGGGAACAAAGAACTCAAACACTAATTGAAAGCACATAAGGGGCTAAATTGACATGAACTAAACCTTACTGCTAAGAAGGGAGGAAATTCCTACAAAATGAGAAACTGCTCAGAATCTATCACACATCAAATAAAACCAACAAAAACTTAGACTAAACCCTAAACCCAACAAAAATACCCGAAAGGAGAAACAAAAGTACTTACCAAAGGAGGTAAACCTTCCCTATCGTCGACTGTCATTTTCGCCGGCAAAACCTCGACCTGCATGTGCCAATCGCAGGGGAGTTGATGGTCGACCAACTTTTTTCCCCTTCTCCACTACTCGACCAAGAAACAGAGGGAAGAGGGTCAGAAATCACAACAAACCAAAAACACAAACGTGGAACAAAAAGATTTACCTTTGACCTTCACCGCCATGTTCGTCGTCGACGTCACTTTCTTTCGGAGGGAATTGATTGCACCTTTTATTCCATGCTTTCATTCGTTCTAGGAAAGGATAGAGAGCGAAGGATGATTGGGAGAGGTGAGAGGGAGCTCGGATTTGGTATCGTCTCCTCTCCGAAAGAGATGAGAGCGAGAGAAGGAGATGAGAGACAGAGTGGGATGAGAAAAAAGAGATCTAGATGTAGGGTAACACCTGCCCACCAGATTCACGGTCTTCTTCTCCGAACTGATTACAGATCGCGTTTTTCTTCTCCAAGGTTGGGACAGGGAAAGGAAACTGAAGAGAGAGGTTTGTTTCAATCGAATACGAAACTAAAGAGAGATGAATGGGAACGTGTAAGTTTGGCCGGATGGGAAAGAGAACTGGTTCAATTACGAAATTACCCCCACCGAAATTGAAGGGGAGAGCAGGAAATTTGAATCTCTGAAAAGTTGCCAAAAGTGTGCAATATATTAATGGTGGATTTCCGGAGACTAAATTGAACTAAAGCGATCGGATCATTAACCTTCTAAATCCAATAGAGAGAGAGAGTCAGAGTCAGAGGGGGAAGGGGCAAAACGTCCGGGGGAAGAGAAAGGTCGTTTCTCAGACAAAAAAAAAATGTGGGAAAGAAAAGGAAAGAAGCATGTCGCTGGTGAAATGGAAATGACATCGGCCGGCGACATGACAATTGAGGACAACAAGAAAAGCCGGTTTTCGTCCACTTAAATTGCCCCTTCTTCTCCCTTTCCACTTTAATTGGCGTATTTATTTTGATACGCTTGTTTTTTCTTATATAGTAATTGTTACCCCGCCGGCCGACTGTCCTCGTCGTCTGCATAGTCTCTCCCGTCGGACTCTCCTCCGGGATGCAAGGTACTTCCCGCCCTCCTTTTTTGCTGTTGCTGTTAATCTATCTTCTCTCTTCAGTGCTCCCGACCACTTGCATTTTAGATTGTCTTCTCTCTTCAGAGTCTATCCCAACGACTTGAAATTGAAGGTAGTCAAGAGCTGGTAGGTACAGTATATGCATGGTCAAAATTAGCGAGAAAAAGAAAAACACGTAGATGAAGCGATCGTCAATACTCGATAATTACTTCGTTTGTTGAGTTTGCTGATGCAAAAGGTCTTTTAACTTTTTGTAATTCTGGGACCAACTTAATGCAACAGCAGCAAGCAAGCAATGCAGCATATTGCATACAACAGCGGTGACCGAGCTGAGAGTTATTTTTGGGAATATAAATGATTTTTTTTTTTTTATCACCAAAACATGCGTGTGTGTCCTTTGACAGAACCCGTAACTATAGGTGGCAAATGGATTGGTGGATTGAATTGGTAGATCCATGAATCAAATGGATTTGGATAAAATATATTGAATTCGTTAGATATTTAATTGGATGGATTGTTTTAGATACAAATTTGCCACCACTCTGTGTTACTCTTTTATATCTGCCGACTCTTTCATTGATCATTCAAAGTTGATGTTGCAGCATCATAGTTTTTGTTCTCCAATTGAACTCCATTGTGGGTTCTTTTGTTCCTGACTAGTTTGGTTTGAGATATTTGTTCGTTCTTCTGCAGCAGCTAAGATGAAGGGAGGTGGTTCCAAAGTGAAGGGTCGAGATTTAACTTTCATCTTAATCGTGCTTGTATGCACAACCATCATTATGCTGTCATGGGACAGAACCCCACTGCTTCTTTCCGCCTCACTTCTTCCTGCCAAAGATCTCTTCTTGTCTTTCCTACCAAGCATCCAGTTTGCAGGTTACTTAATAACTTGCCGTTGTTGCTTCATCAGTGTCAGTAGTCACGACTTCTAGCTAGTCTGTTATCTACCCATGTCACCAACAGAAGAATGTATTTATCGTCCCTGACAGAGGTATCGCCAAACTTAACTGATATGGAGAAGAAAGATAAAGTCGTCTTCACAGAAGCAGCAGGCCAAGAAGATCAAGCTGCAGAAAAGGCTCCAAGTTTGAGAGAAGCTGCAGAAGGAGATCCTAATCAGAGTTTGAATATGACATCACAAGGAGCTGTTGACGAGAATACATCGGAAGTAGGAGATAAACGAGGTAACACTGAATTGCACTTGCTCTTCTGCATCAGAGTTTGGACTTGCTAATTTGCTTGCATATGGTCTCTGCATGCAGTTTGTAACTATGGAAAAGGGAAGTGGGTGAGAGATGACAACGTGCCTTTATATTCTGGATTTGATTGCAAGCAATGGCTAGCACCAGGCTGGGCCTGTCGGACGATGCCACGGACTGATTTTTCTTATGAGATGCTCAGATGGCAACCAAAAGATTGTCAGTTGCAGCGGTTCAACGGCGATGAGTTCTTGAAAAGGTATCATTCTCCTTGTGCTTTTTCTGTACTCCATTCTGCAGACAACAATCTGCAGAACTTTTAGCAGAATCGTATGAGTTTCGACCGATCGAGTTTGCTCGTCTCTGGCTCAGATCGATGTGATGCTGCTAGTTACGAACATCAATCTTATTATTGCTGAATTGATTTCCCATTGCTTGATTATCCAAATACAAACTACAATTTTTGTGCAGAATGATATCCTGTATGTTGCTGTTATGATATAAGAGACACATGACTGTAACTGTAGTGCGACTGTTTTTGCTGTCAGCGAACCAACCATTTGGTCTCAATAACTCGAGTTGTTCGAAAACACTTTATTTTGAATGTCAAATGAAAGTTGTCGCAGGCTCTAATACCATGTTGGCGAACTAACCACTTCGTCCCAATAACTTGTGTTGTTGAGAAAGGATTTCTTAAGCCTTTTAATCTCTTACATTGGCCTCTGAAACAGGATGCAGGGCAAGACCATAGCTTTCGTTGGAGATTCATTAGGCGGCGAGCAGTTCCAGTCTCTAATGTGTATGATCACCAGAGGGCTAGAAAGGAATGATGTCCTCGACGTCGGAAGCGAGTACGGATTCACCATCCCTGAACACGGCCGTGTTGTGAGAAATGAAAACGGCCGTCCTGACGGGTGGGCGTACAGGTTCACCACCACAAACACCACCGTCCTGCATCACTGGTCTGCTTGCCTCTGCGACCTCGAACCGATCGTCACCGAGGATCCAAACCAGCGACACCACTACTACGCAATGCACCTCGATCGACCGCCAGCGTTCCTGCGCGAGAACCTGCACCGCATTCACGTCCTGGTGATGAACACGGCCTACCACTGGACCCGGCAGAAGCTGATTCGGAACCGGTGGGTGATGCACGTTGGTGGCGTCAGGAAGACCAACGAGACGCTGAGAACACTCGGGGAGGCCAAGAACTTCACGATTCACAGCGTCGTTGGTTGGGTGAACAGCCAGCTGCAGGAGAATCCGCAGCTGCAGGCTTTCTACCGGAGCATTTCTCCCAGGCACTTCTCCGGTGGGGATTGGAACACTGGCGGTTCTTGTGACAACACCACACCGAGGTACGTAGGAAAGGAGGTGGTGGAAGCCGTGTCTAGCGACCACGTCTCGAGGAGTGCGGTCCGGGGAACAGGGGTGAAGCTTTTGGATATAACGTCTCTGTCCAGTGTTAGGGATGAGGGTCATATATCGAGGTACACCCTGACGGCGAAACCAGGTGTGCAGGATTGCTTGCATTGGTGCCTGCCTGGTGTTCCTGACACATGGAACGAAATCCTTGTTGCACAAATCAAATAAAACGGCTACTTGTGTAAGTTAGTTCCGCAGATTCATACAGTTAGTTAGTTGCTTTGGGGAAGAAGAAGAAGAAGAAAAGAACCGATCCAAGCTCTTCTCTAGGCTGTGAGGAGAAGGTTTGGTTTGTCAAAGGGGGTGACTTGGTAGTTAGGGTTTTGATGTATTTAATCAATTTATGTATGTAATACTAATTAGATGTATTGTGTAGACGTATGAATTTGAAAAATACACATTGTTTGTCGATCTACAGATTCACAATAAAGAGTTAATAATATTTTGTACCCCTCTACTATGATAAATTAATAAATGTACTCATCTACTAAAATTTTTCACAAACATATCCTTCTAATATTAAAACGTAACGAGTTTATCCATCTATCCAATTTTCTATTAAATGAACGTTAAAAGCACTATGAAATGACCCAATTACCCCTCATTTACTTCTACACACTCCTAATTTTAGTTTTAATGATTTTATGTATCGAATTGATTAATTAAAAAAAAAAAATTATACCCCACGTGACGTTCCGACTTCACCCTTAATCAGTTTCCCCACGATGGTAGGTTCTCTCTACTCCAGCCGCCGACGAGGAGATGTCGGGACCAACCGACGTCGACCTCGCTACCAAACTATAGCGAGCATAAAAATCTCTATCAGCCGAACCAAATATCTATCTTTAAAGGGGGGGGTTTCTCTTATATATTTTTAGGGTAAATTGCAAGTTTGATCACTGGGTTTACAAAAAAGGTTCAGTTTGGTCACTAAAAATATTTAATTCAATTCATGGTCACTAAAATTAGTTCAATAATCCGAATTTGGTCACCCTTCGTCCAACTCCGTTAACTTTAGCTGATGTGGCGGTCAAATCTCATAATTGACCGTTAATAAGTGATGTGGCAATTAAAATTATAAAATTGAATATTTTACTATTTTCACATCACTTTCCCAATGAATTAAAATAAATAAAACTGAAATAATAATTATAATTACAATATTGAGATTAACCTACCGGCAAAAATTTTGGCCACCCGTCCAGAACCTCCTCCCTCAGAAATCCTCACCAGGCGCAATACCTCCACTTAACTCAAACTCTCTCAGAAACCCCCCGGAACTCTTCTAAACACACTAATTCACACTGTACACCAAAACGAGAATCCCCACGAACCCATCACTCCCTCCTCTCTTCCAATTTCCACAACCAGGAGGAGAGTGGCGAGGAGGAGGTCGGCGTGGCCGGCAATGATGATGAATTGATGATGACGTCGAATTGTGAGGATTGGGGCGAACATGTCGGGTCGTGCCACGAGAGGTCCGAGAATATGATGGGTCCCGTTATGAAGTCTGGTTTCAGGTCGAGGAAAGGACCTGAACTTGCTGCTGCTCTGAATTCTGGTGTGGTGGGTTTTCGCAGCGGGTATGGGAGAAGAGAACAGAGGAGACACGGGTGGTGGAGCGGTGGAAGCAGAAGTGGGTGGATTGTTGGGGAGGTTTGGATGCCGGATATTGTGAGAAGAGAGGCCGCGGATATCACAAGAGGCGAAAGGTTTACGAGATGAAGAAGGTGGAAGGTTTGATTATAATAAGGTCGGCGAAATGGAGGAGGTGGACAGAGTTTGACTCTGCATTTGTCACTACCAGAATTTGTCATTTTGAAATTGGAAAAACTGAAGGGAAAAGGGGAAAACAGATAGTGAATGAATTAGTGTGTAGAGTTGGGGTATTGGAGGGGGTGAGATATAGTGAAGGAGAGTTTTGGTGGGTTTCTGAGGGAATTTGAGTTTTGGGAAGTGAAGGAATTGCAGCCAGCGGGTGTTTCTGAGGGAGGAGGAGGTTCCGGGAAGTGTTTTCCGGTGAGGATAAGGTTATAATATATCAATTTTGGTATAATAATAATTATTTATACTTTATTTATCATGAAAAATTATATAGAAATAGTAAAATATTAATAAAAAAAATTGTCACATCACGGTCAACTATGAGAGTTGATCGCCACGTCATCTAAAGTTAACGGAGTTGGACAGAGAGTGACTAAAATCGGATTATTGAACTAATTTTAGTGACCATGAATGGAATTAAATATTTTTAGTCACCAAACATAAACTTTTTTTGTAAACGTAGTGACCAAAGCAATTTACCCTATATTTTTAATTTGGGTGCCTTTTGGAGTCTCTAAATTCTCTTCTTCTTTCTGTTTTTTGTCAGTTGGGAAATAAATATGGCACTGTAAACAAGAATCTACAACTGGAAGTCTTGATGTGCATATGGAGAAGGCGATTTGGTCTCTTCTTAAAATTCGACTTATGTCTGGTAGGAGGTGAAGAAACACTATATGGGTCTGGTCTTGCCGACTGGTTTTCTCTACTCCAGTCGCCGGCAAGTAGATGTCGCAGACTAATGATCAGGGGAGACAGATGCTTTATGGTTGAGTGAGTGTGAATAAGATTAGGGGTTGGATTTTTTTAATTAATTGATTTGGAATATAAAATAATTAAAATCAAAATTAGGAGTGTTTAGGAGTAAATGATGTGCAATTAGATATTTTCACAGCCCCTTTAACAACCATTTAACAGAAAATTAGATGGAAGGGTAAACTCATTACGTTTTAATATTAGAAGGGTATGTTTGTGCAAAAATTTAATAGAGTGGTATGTTTGTTAATTTATGAAAGTAGAGGGTTACAAAATGTTATTAACCACATAATAAATTATTCTCGTGATTTATGCTAAATACATGTACTTTGTTTCATTTTAATGCAAAGAATGATGAATTCTACTGATTACATGAGTTATCTGAATACATCATCTGAAATCTCAACTTTCAAACGGCCTCCTTAGTTCCATTGCCGATTAACATGAACGGTAATGAACTTTGTACACACGGTTGATGGAAAAACGAACCAAGGGCACCTTATAGATATGTGGTTCAGGCACGATGTAATTTGTAATATGTGATAGGGGATAGTTATTTGGAAACTTAAAATTTTGATTGATTCATTATAATATTTGATTTGACTATCATTTGGTGGGCAAGTGGTGCACTCGTACCGTACTACACCGCATCACATGTCTTTTGGATCGCATCGTCGCATATTTGATTGTTATGTAATATGCATTATGTATAATTGAATTGACAAATTTGAATTCAGAGGTATCTAGACCAAATTGATGTCATTCTGTTTACCACTAAAAAAATCACTTGATACCACATTGATTATTTTCAAGGAGTATTAGTGGTTTTAAGGCAAGTTTAACCATATTTATTAAATTGGTTTAAATTGGGCCTAAATGATGGTATTTTTGGGCTTCATACATGGTATCTCAACACACACCCATTGACCCACCAAACACCCACCTGTTAAACATGACATCATCCAAGGGGGGTCAAGCATGATGTCATGGAAGGGGGTCAAGCGTCAACCACCCAAATAGGCATGGTGGAGGCAAAATTTGACTAAGCGTTGAGACTGAATTACAGGGGGAGGTCAAGCATGACATCATCTAAGGGGGGTCAAGCATGATGTCATGCCAGGGGAATCAAGCACCAAGTACCATGGCCGCCTGCCTACCTTGCACTAATCGAGCATGATGTCGTGCAGGGGGGCATCGCGAGCACTAGACGTGATGGAGAAAGAAGGAAAATTTTCGGACCCAACCACAAGGGGGGTCAAGCATGATGTCATGCAAGGAGGGTCTCGCAGTCAAGCATTTAGCCACCTACGTACCAACCACCAGGGGTTCAAGCATAAGGGTGTCAAGCATGATTCCATGCCAAGGGGTAGACACAATGCACCCTCATCCCCAGTTGTCGGGAATGCTAGGCTTTATGGGTAGTCATGCATGGTACCTAGTAGACAAGGTCATCAAGTTTCTAAGTGTCAGCCATGTATATCATCACATGGTAGACCACCTTGTCAAGATCCTGCAAGCATGATGTCGCCCCAAATGGGGTCAGTATGCATCCATCAACCATCCAAGCATCCTGGTGTCAAGCATAACGTCATGCAAGGGTGGTCAACATGAGTACCACGAAGGCATCAAACATCAAGATGAAGACAAGCGAGATACCTCCACGACACAATGTGACTATCTGCCAAGTGAAGTCATCAATCCATCAAGAATTCAAGATACCAAGTGATCAGCAGGCAAGCAAGATCGGTTAAGACATCAAGCACCAAGCATGGGAGGCAGCGGTTACAAGGAATGGCTATAAATAGAGCAAGGGTTCCACAACCAAACATTTGACGCACAATGGCAAAATTTATCCTTTCTCTGCAGATTAGCTTTACCCTTTAGTTTTCGGAGCTCTCACTGAAGTAATCAATGTAGCTTGTTCCCGAAAAACCATCAAACATCAAACACCCTCGTTCGAACATTGTTCGCAGAGGTGTGAAACCGTGTTGAATTTCGTTATTCAAAAAGTCAAGGTGCGTTTATTGAATTCAAACACAAGAGTTTTCCTCGCCGGAAAACACACTCATTTTCTTTTTCCTGTGTTATTTAATTTCTTGATTATATGGTATATTTTAGAATACATTTTAACAGTACCCTCAATGGAAGTTCATGACCTTGTGGAATTGCGACCATTTTTGGAGGGACTTTTCAGCATACCAGTTTTGCATCACGTGGGATCCCTCTGCCCTAACATCTTCAGTGACCGTTCTAGCGAGTCGTAAGGTTGCCATGGTGACCCGTTACTATGCGACTTTGGGAAGCGCCTCACAATTGACGACTGACGAGAGGCTAAATAAAAATTTAATATGGTTTTCGCTTTTGAACAGTAACCGCGCATTTTTGCATTAACCATACCTCGAGCCCCTAAAAATTCAGAACGCATATTAGATCGCAAGTCTTACTGTTTTCTGAAGAGAAAACTTGCGTTGAAACGAATTGAATGCACCTTGAGTTCTTTGGACAACGATCACTAAACACGGTTCACACCTCTTCAATCACAGTTCGAACGAGGGTGTTCGATATTTACACGACTCTCGAGACAGACCTCT